AAGTGCTTATCAGTTCAGGGGCGGTGCAGAAAGGGGGGTTCCGACGGAAAAGGGCTTCAAAACAACTTGACTGACTGCACTTTATGGTTCATTTTGCATGCCTCAGATGAGCCGAGGCCTGGACCCCAGTCTCTAGAAAAAAAAAGATGAGAAAATATCCAAAGGTTTCACTTACATATAGCCCAGCTTTCACCCGGTTTTCCCCCGCTTTTCCTAGCTTTTAGCACCCCCCAACCACCCCTTGTGACTATGCGTTTTGGTATTTTTACTGCTGCGTTCCCATTTGCGAGACAGAGAATTTTGAGTTGCTTTTTCATTTTTAATGCCACATCTTGGTCTCTTGGACAATGTTTGCTGGCTGCTAAAGGGGATGGGTGAAAGGAGGGGGCTGAGGGGGTTCTGCAGGACTTCAGGACTTGTGTGCCTTGTCCTTGCCTGCAGCGTTAAATTCTTGTTAAAATATTATGGAAAACTTTTTTGCACCATTTTTTGCGCTTTAAGAAAGAATCCAGCCACTGAAATCTCTCCCTCTAGGCCTCTGGGATTTTTCTGAATTTTTTCAGGGTTGCCAAGGTTGTTCGAGAGGCAAAAAAAGGGCTTATAAAAACCATATCAATAAAAACTTATGCAATAATATTAAGAGCACACACAAACAAAATGGCTTATTAAAATAGTACCTACATTGTAGGTCCTACAATTTTAAGCTGGGCTATATATGTTTTTGTAGAATATTTTTTTTAGTTTTAGTATAGTGGAACATAATAACAAACGAAAATATTTAAAAATTAATTATATTAAAAACACCTATTTTTATATTTTATCAAAGCATTAAATGTACTTGAGCTATGTCTTAAAATGTATTCAGATATATTTTAGTGAAAAAAGGGACAACTATTTTAAGATCGCTTGGTAAGTTTAATAGTTTTTATTACCTATGTGTTAAATTCATCCAAACAAAACAAGTTGTTTTTATTTTTTTTAGCTGCAAAGCAATCCCAATACATTATGATAGAAAATTTTAAATTAAATTAATTTTAGGTTCGATATAGTGTAGGCTCTTCCCTAGAACTAACTTACTACAACATAATAACAAATATATACAGTTTTTTCTAATTAAATCAAATCTTAAATCATTTAAAGCATTTTGAGGTACATCTCAATATATATTCAGATATTTTTTAGTATCGCTTTGTAGGTTTAATAATAACCATGGGTAAAAAAAGGGGAAACTATTTTAAGACCTGAGTACCCACGCACATGCCCACTTATTTCCTATAATTTTGCAAGACTTTGCATCTGAGTCAAATTGTTGCAATTAAGGAAAATGCTTAAGGTCAGATCCAACGCAATTTGACAATTGAAGGGCGCAATTATTTCAGTTGATTTCGCCTGAATTGACGCGACTGCCGTTTGCTTTGAGTTGGGTCCTTAGCCCAAAACACTTAATGGCAAACTCATACCGCCCACATGCAACTCGTACCCCCAGTACCAGGAAAAGACCCCCCAACCCCCGTTTTCTCCCACGATCCACGGCCATGTCGCACCTAATTAGGCCAATTAAATTTAGCTGCAAATTACACACGTTAAATGTGTAAATTGGGCGGCCAGCTGAAAATGAAATTAAATGCATGTCGCATGGTGCGCATCGCGTGTTAAAGCCAGATATCTAAGTACCTGGATTTTGATTTGGATTTGGTTTCGAATTAAGCGGATGCACCGACCGCACCTTCAACAAAGGGATATTTAATTCGCGGGTTAAGTGGCGAGTGCGATATTGTCACGAAAGCAATTGGATTATCGTCGGTGGGGAAGTCATTAAATAGCATTTTCTAGTGTCCGGCTAATAAAGCAGAATTAGCACATGAATATACAATTAAAACACTCTTAAAATTACCTTTAGTGAAATTGGTTTTTTTACACCTAATAAATTGTTAAATATTGTTTGGTTACTTTTTTGTAAGTTATTTAATCATTGAAAAATCACATTTTAGTATTTCCAAAAAGTTGTCCTTTTTATAATATTGCATTTGAGGTTTTCTGTGCGCTCATAAAAATAATTATTTTTAAGTAAATGTTTAAACTACATGTAAATACAAACAATATCTTTAGGATCACAACAAGTTCATCCCTTTTTAAGCTTTTAGGGCCATGTATAAAAAAAAATCAGAATATTTGGATTCCTGGTTATCATTTGGTTTTAATTGATTTAAATTTTATTGAAAAATATGTTTAATTATTTTTTAATTACAAATTTGGTTTACTAATCGGGTTTTACATTTTATCAAATTTTGAAAAAAAGACGAGACTTTCTAAAATCTGTAAAATTCATGTGTAATGTATTAACTTTTTAAAGCACTATTTAAAAATTTATTGCAGTTTACAATTAAGGTTTTACCACTTAAAATTAAATACAGTTTAAAAGTTATTGAGAAAATCACCATACAAATGCATTTTTATTGGAAGCACTTTACTTCTTAGTAGCAAATTCAAGGATTATCCTCCTGAGAACTTCTGTAAATCTCACGTGTCATATCCACCTGTCCTCTTATGATTTTCAGTTTCTTTCTAAATCCCTTTAAGCCTCATCAATCAAATGGCGAACAAAAGCCGCTTGGCCAGTGAATTTAAACTCAATCCGGATGTGGGAGTTCATTAGCAGGAAAAGCGGGAAAAGCGCGAGTATCCCAAGCGCAATTAAACGTTTCTTGTAAGGCCAAAAACCTCAATTTCGAAACTGGATTTAATTCAATTACCGGCTTCTTGACTCAATTTCCGCCACCACAAGTTGCCACTCACCTGACTCAATTCCTTGAAGTCGCTGGACAGCGGGAAATTTAAAATAGAAAGGGAAAACCGGAAACACTTGACCGAAACTTTTTCACAAAAAAAACTTTTAAAACCGGGTTCTCTTACACTTCAAATCTGTTTTAACATTTGTTTGTTTCTTTTCCCTTTCTAGGGTTTTATTCCATTGGTAAGTTGTTGTTCATTTCATAAGACACATTAAAAAATAAAGAAAAAATTGTTAACTGCCGAGAGATTTTTCAAAAAGTACCAATTTCGAACTGAGATCTATGCGGTTTGAAATGATTTCTTCAGCCCGATTCCGTAGGGTCCTTTGGTCCTGTTTTAGTCCGCCACACAACCGTCGTTCAGGACATTCGCCAGCGAACTACGCGCCATCCAAAGCGAAACAGTCGCAAGTGGGAACAAAACCAAAACACAGGACGAAGGACGAGCCGAAGATCCGAAGGATGCGACTCGAGTGGAACGATTCGAGCGCGTTGCCGCCTACGAAAAGGACTCAACATATTACTCTAATATTTGAAATATTTTTAAACTTATTTTACATTTTTTTTTCAACACTTCAAAAATATAAAAACAAATTTTAAAAATAGGAAATGTAAATAAATAAATTAAATAATTTATCTTTTCGATAAAGTATTCAAGAATATTAAATAAATATCATTAAAATGTTGCTAAGTGCGTAAGTTTAATATACTTGCTGACGCCGTTTTCAATACATTTTAAACGGCATTTTTAAGTTGAAAATCTTTTTATTTTGCTCGAATCAAGTTGAACTGGCGGTATTTAAGTATGTACATTGTATGTACAAATAAACTATTAGTTCAGTCCTTAGTGTATACTTATCAAAAAGTTGTTAAATAAACTTAATTTAACTTTTCTCTTCTCACCGTTTCGTTCTTATATTGATACCAAAATGAACTTACACGGTTTTTAAGAACGAATGTTCTCAATTCAAGAACAATGTTCTTAGATAGGTTTCTCTGTGTATATTTGTTCTTAATTTTTTAGACTTAAGTAATAAGTTTTTTACAAAGTTTAGGCATAGAAAATACAAACACTAAAAAATGCGTTCTTTGTAGTAGTTGTATTGAGTTGTGAGCGCTATAATAAATTCTACCCAGAAAAAAAAATTAAAGTGTAGATACCTATTGTTAAAAAAAGTGTTTTTTTTATTTTTTATATGTGCTAAGTAAAGAAAAAATATTTTATGAAATGGTATTATTTTATGTTTTCTGTAAATACTAAATGAAAGAGGCACTCTCCCCTTTTCAACTTTTTCTCGATAGCGAAAAGAACGCAACAGGCGCGCATGCAAATTCCCAAAGGAACAAAAAATATTTGTAAACAAAGCGGCTTCGTTCGCCAGCCGAACGAGAAATTGAGCGCTAAAGCGGAAAACCGAACTCAGAACAAGCCGCACGTTTAAGTGAAAACTCAATTTGAGTGACTTTTCTTTATGAATGAAAGCGAAAGTTAAGAATGAATATTAAAAATGTATTTTTTAGCTTAATTTATGTTAACCTTTGAAAAAAGTTTTTTTAATTATAATCTATAATTGTAATTCATATTTTAATGTATAAACAAATTTTATTTTACATTTTAACCTTGCCGCTCTAGAGATGGTACTTTTTGAATTAGTAGGCTCAAGCATATATCGATAGCTCCACTCGTTCAGTATGACCTTAAGATGGCGCCAGAATTAACAGATAAATGATTTTAAATAAAGACTTTTTAAATTGAGACTTATATCTTATATGATATCATAAATACAAAGTTGATTAGTATAACTTGACGTATTTATTTTGAAAAACTACCTAAGAATTGAAAATGTACACCAAGCAACATGGGAATTTTATCTCAACATAACTTATACAAGTTTATTGAAATACCAATAAAAATTTGGCGCATCGCTTGATATATATAAATGAATATAACTTAAAGAATTTTATGTTTAAAATACGATTATTTGGACTATTTTCTTATCATCGCTGTAAATCAAACCTATCGATGTATCGCTTAATAATTTTTGAACAATGTGTATGTGGGCTTGTCATAACATTTTTATAAGCTTTTTGTAATGTTTAAAAAAATATAATTAAAAATACTAAGCAATAGGTAATCTGCGTTCGATAGTTTTTAAAACTCAAAGGGTGGCAGCGCGTGAACGAACTCTTCCTATCGATCTGGCAACTCCCTTGGAGCACGCCGCATGTTTTCGTCTTTTGTTTTGCTTTTGCTTTGCATTTGAATTGTTTTAAACTACATTTATTTAAATAAAAATGAAACGATTAGCTGCGAAAAAGGACGAGGACAACGCGGAGCCTTTGGCCAAGAAGCAGCTGCAGTCCAAGGCCAATTCCTTGCTAAATGCCAAGAATGTGGACATCAAAACGCTCAAGGGATTCGTTCAACTGCTGGTAAATCATCAAACCTATTAAATAAATATATAAATATTTGATTAAAGTTGTTAATTCCAACAGAAGGACACCCCCGATAATGTCCCAGCTGGGGAGGTGATGAATACCCTAGAGGTGATATTCAAGAACCTGCTTAAACGAATGACCACCGAAAGCAACGAAAAACAGACCCAGAAAATCCAGGAATTATACGAGGAAACTTGGTTGCTCCTATTGGAGAATCTTTTGGTGGATTCAGAGAGTTCCACGGCTCTAAAAGTGTGCATGCAACTGATCAAAGTGGAGGCCAAACATCCCATAGCACCCAAAACGGGCTGGCCCACCCACAGAGTCCGTGATATTCTAGCAACCCTCTTGAACTCCGAGGAAACACCCACAAACGCGCTGACCAACTATGGGAAATACTGCAAAAATCTTGATGTACTGGAGATTACTCTCAATACACTACAAAACCTAGTGCCCAAGGAGGACTTCAAGGACATCCCCACCAAAGCCATGAACTTCCTGTCCATTGTCAACCTCCTAGATTTTGGAAAATCAGTTTTAAACACGGCCGATTACCACGTGGAAAGTGCGAAAAATCAACAGTTTAGCTATGAGCAAAATCAGAAGAGATTGAACGTTCTCTGGCTGGCCATAATGGCCAAGAGCAGCGCAGTGGACGAGAAGCTGCACCGGCAAATTCTGGTGGTTCTGCTTGAACGCGTGATTAACCACTTGAAAGATCCCATCCAGCTGACCGACTTCCTCATGGACTCACTGCACCAGTTTGGTTGGTATTCACTTGTAGAAATCTGATAGATCCCAATGCGCAACTGTTTTTCCATCCTACAGATGGCCCCATTGCCTTGCTGGCCCTCCAGGGCCTCTTCACGCTGATGCAAAAGCAGAACATCACCTATCCGGATGTGTACGAGAAGCTGTACAACATGTTCTATCCCCGGATGTTTTTCAACAAGTACAAGGCCCGTCTGTTTTACCTGGCCGACATCTTCCTAACATCCACCCACTTGCCAGAGAATCTGGTGGCGGCCTTTGTTAAGCGTCTCGCCCGTTTGGCCCTCCAATCTCCCACCGAAGATGCTGTGATCATGATCCGATTCGTTTGCAATCTTCTATTGAGGCACACGGGCCTGCAGAAATTGATACGCGCCAGTCATGCGTCCGATGAGCTCAGCGATCCCTACAACCAAACGGAATCGGATCCCGTCAAATCGCAGGCCATCAATAGTTCGCTGTGGGAGATTACACTGCTGCAGAAACACGTTGTTCCCGAGGTGGCCAATGCTGCCCGGTTCATCAACTCCTCGCTGCCCATCATGGAATTTGATTTGGCACCGCTTTTGGACAGGAAGGAGTGCAATGTAAGCGGTTGATTATAATTCCTTTAATGTATATTTATAACTGATTTGTATCTTTCAGATTTTCGACGACGAGCTGCAGTCGAAGGCCAAGCAGTTTGCCATGAACTACGAGCGACCCGCAAATTTGGCCCTGCCCAAAAACGGCTACGTGACCAAGTACTGGGACCTTATCTAGATTAGTGTTATTGTGCTAAGTTTAAGCAGGATTAAAGTGCTGCCTGTGGGGCTGCTGATGGGCCAACTCGGCCTGAAACCAATTGGCCGGTGAAATGTATCTGATGTTGCCTGGGGGCGGAGACTTCCTTGGGTTAACTTGCTGTTTCCTGGGCTGGTTAAGCTGCCGGATCTCCGAGCAAGTGCGGCAGGGTCGTATCAAGGCGAAGTAAACGCACTCGGCGATGGACAGAAAGCTGAAGCCCAGGAACAACCCCATGAGACCGCCCACGCAAGCTGCAAATATGTTACCCATATATCATTAAGGATTTAGGATTAGGTAAGCCTTCACCTACACAAAAAATCGGAGAAGCCAATGAATTCAGTCTGCTTGCTGGCCCTGAATGTGGGATCCTTGAAGTACATATTTACCACCGCCACACTGCGCTCCACATAGGAATCAGAGAAGTTCCAGCCGCTATTCGAGGGGGCCTCCCTGAAGCCATCGTGCGATATCCTCGTGGAATAGGCAATCGCACTGAAGGTCAGATCGAAGCACGAGGGCAGGCACTCCTCCAGGCAGGACTCCATCGCCACAATGGTCCTGAATCGAATTAGCTCCACACATTCCGTCTTGCGCAGCGGACATATGGTATCGTTCTTGTTCAATCGGGGCATATAGAAGGTCACGCAGCCGCAGTGACGAATTAGCCAGCCGGACAGGCACTCGGCCACGCAATTTCTCTGAGTGTAGTGGGCGAACCAACGGAGTTTCAGCTCATTGCGGAATATACACCGCCTGCTTCGGCGGTCCACATTACGCAGGTGCTTCTCGGTTAGGATCTTAGCCGGATCTATACGCACTTTGGTCTCCATTCCGGGAGCCAACAGAACTCCGGTCTCCCGCACATTTGGCGATTCATTCGGACTGTGCAAGGCGATCTTGAAGCCAATGCTGCTGGACGAGGAGCAGTAATAGGCATCTGCCTGGACATCCAGGGTCAGCGATAGTCCCAGGGACTCACCCGTTCCTTGGGCTCGTCGAGGGTACAGCGGATTGTCCCCATCTGGCTGGGAACCCCGCTTGCGATAGCCCAACTCCGCGTGCCAGTTGACCGCATAGAAACCCACGGGAAGGGTTATATTGCGGTGCGAATAGGGAACACTGCAGGGAACAAGTTATGAAAAAAAGTTAGTGTCAGGACTTTTCTGATTTATACATTTAAAAAATTTTTCGAATTCGATTTGAATTTATTTTCTGTGCATCTTTGAAAACTTTTGGTCAATAGTGTTATTTTATCTGAACCGTCGTAGAAAAATATTTTTTAACTAACTATTAATATTTGTGCAAATCGGGTTCTAGTAAAACATTTGAAAGGGAAACCAGAACTGGACTGGAAATTGAAGCTTTTAGTGATGGTGGTTATAAATGTCCTAGCTTTCTAACATTTCTCATTCTGCATATATTAATATTTCACATTAATGTTTAGTTTTTCTTATTTGAGAAACAGTAATATAATTTTTTAAGCATTATTCCGTTCATTTACTTCCCATTTTAAATATTATAAAAGACTCGAATTAAAAGTATAGCTTAGGTTTCCCCATTGACTAAAAGCCAGGCTTCCAAATAAATAGACGATTAGAAAAGTTCCAAACCAAATATATCTTTGATTTTACTTCCCATTTTAAATATTATAAAAGACTACAGTTAAAGGTACAGCTTAGGTTTCTCTATTGACTAAAATCAAGGACTCCAAGTTATTGTACGATTAGAAAAGTTCCGAACCGAAAGCTGTGCTTTGCAAAAAGGCTTTAACAAAAGTCCTATCTTTTGGTTTGGAATCAAATGAAAAATTGTATACATACTTAAAGTCAAACGAAAATTGAGTTTCCCACCTTTTCCGGTACATAAACCTGGGATGCAGCATATTGAAAACACAGCATAGACCTTCATCGGTCACAATGGGATGGAATAAACGCGCACATTCGAAATCATCGGCGCCAAAACGGCAGTTAATCACCATTGATTTGCATGGTTGTGAGATCTGTAGGTGTATATAGATAAAGTAAAAGACTTTCATTTATATGTTTAGAGAAAAGTCAAAGGATTAACCTAGTTTTTAATACCTCCTTATCCAGCGATTTAATATAAATTTTAAAAAATAGACATTTATCATAGCTTACATTTAGTATAAACTCCTCCCAGTTGGAATTATTTCCCTTGACCTGTTCCACATCCACCTTCCGTCGACAGAGCAACTGCAGCATTGCAAACTCCATGGAATCGTTGGCCAAGTTTTTAACTTTTTCAGCCAGAGCCTGATTTAAATTGCAGATGGTCACCGCCGGAAAAGGCTCGTTGGCAATGGAAGTCAGCTCCGGATCGATGCCCACTATAACCGGATTGGTGTTCCACTTATCGAAGGCGTCCTGTATTAGGTAAATGGCTATGGAAAGTACCGCCAGCAGGGCTATGCCGAAAAAGAACCTTTAATTATAAAATCAATCAATTATTAATATCACAAGAATAACATGTACGTATCTGCTTACAAAATGAACTATTTTAGGATACAAAAAATCCTTAAATATATGTAAAGTGGTTTGAGGTTTCCAATGTGTGCATCTATTGTATCATGTTAAATATTTTTATAGTTATATTTAATATTATAAAAGCTACTTGAATAGCTTTCCCTTTTCACCTATCACTCTTTCGCAATTTGCTGTTGTTAATGTACTTCAATCCATGAATGGTGGTATTGCGACAGAACTCATCCGTATTTCTGGACAGGATTCTCCGCCAAGTGGATAGCGTAATCCGGAAATTCTTCGAATGCGGCTTTAATCGTTTTTGTTGGCTCCAAAGAAGAGCCTTTTGGCGATTTCGTGGCACTCGCATCTTCGGTTGAAACCACACTAAATTTCAAATTATAACTTATATTTATTTATAGTCATTTCCATTTTGCAAATTAAATATTTTGTTTATTTAATGTCACTTACTTGGCTGCACAGGTACTTTGCAATCTGTTATTGCGGTTATTTCAGCTTTGAATTCAAATGGAAAGAGTGCTGAGATTGAGGTTGCTAATGTTGATTAATTGTTTACAGAGCTATTGTTATACCCTTGCAGGAGGTATAATAATTGCAATCAGAAATTTGGATTCCCAAATATAGTACATTTTTGGAGATGCACTGGAAGGTAACGTCATCGATAAAGCTAATTGAAAAACGGTCCCCTCAGTAGGAACTTATAATTCCCAATTAGTTCTAGCTAAGAATTGTATATAGCTAAGTTATGACTTGGGGTCTAAGCAAATAAACTATATAGTTCCATGCTAATTTTCATAAATTAGTTTTTTTTGTAGTTTTTAAATTAGTTAAATAGTTAATGACTTAACTTGAATAAACAGGCACCAGTGTATTCAAAATAATATTTAAATATTTTTCTAGGTAGGTCTGAAAATTTTGTATTGTTTCATAACCAAATTAAATATTTGTTTTTAAAAAATGTCGTACATAAAGCCAATACTTATTTTGATTATGTTTTCAGAAACAGTCAACCTGGTCAACCCAATTTAAATTTCGAATGGCCATGTAATGCCTTTAATTAAAGGATTTTCGGGAGCAAAGGAATGCCTCATTAGGAGAATCAGAAACTGAGACCTCAACCAAAAAGGGGAACAGGAACCCAAGTGAAATCCTGGCCAAAAAGTGGGATCCCCAATCGAAGCGGGAGAAGAAGTTTAAGCCGGGCCAAAGGCTCAAGTTGGCTACAATCAACATGGTCCAAAACGCACAAATTGCGAAGGTGATGGCAGAAAGAGACGGGCTGAGGGTCGGCAGAAAGAGACAGGCGATTGGGGAACCACAGAAAACGACACTTGAACGAAAATCAAATTAAAAGCTTCAATGGCAACAGACGAGGACTTGGATCTGCTCCTGTTTTGTGCTCCTGCTGCTGGCCACATGTCACCACATGGCACCTGCAGCACACACACACACACACACACGCACGCACTTTGTAAGGACTCAACTCGACTCCATTGAAACAAGTTCATAAAACACTTAACCTGACCGAGCTGACCAAATGTCCCCTGGGAATGCGAATGCCCGACTGAACGGAGCCGGTCTTGTTGACTTGTTAGCAGTTGATGTCCGATGCCCTTCGAACCACCTACCTACATATATGTGTGTGCCTGGACCTACCCACTGGGCCACCCACTCAGCTACCCACTGAACCGCCCACCGAGCCACCGGATGTATCCGCATCAATGAGTGACCAGGCCGAAAGTTTCCCCTTAGTCTGCGACTTGGCCTGCGATTTGGACTCCTTTGCCGGGGCATCATCAAAAGTTACCAGCAAATTGACCTAATCTATGTACATACATATGTACGTATTCCAGCCAGGTTCTGGGCACATATGCACCAAAGGATCCGCAAAAGAGCACTGAACGAAAGGATTTAAATATAGTACAATACATTGAAAGTAGTATCGATCTGGGCAAATTTTAAAATGAAATTTATATATATTTGAAGGGGTATATAAATGAAGGAACATGTTCTTGTTGTATTATTTTCAAGAACTATGTAATATAGAAAAACATATTTCTAAAAAAATATTTTTTATAATTTTTGTTTAATCCGAGGGAAATTAAATTAGCATATATTTTTATTTTGATATTAAACACAAATAATATAAAATAATATTTTTCTTCAGTGAATGATATATGTATCATAATAAAATCTTTTGTTTCATATGTAAAATACTTAACTGCTGTTTAAAATACACCTAATCATTCAAAAAAATATTCTTGAAAAGGTTTTACATATATATTTATAAGTACATTTCCCACTGCTGTTTTTAAGCAACAAATAAAATATATTTCAATTATATTGTGCATGCTTTTAAAACAAATATATACATATATATTAGGATCACTATAAGACAACTTGAAAAAAGGGAGTTTCTTGACTAGCATAACTACTGAAAGAAAGTAATTTTAAATTTTCCCTTTATATATTAAAGGTTTTATTTTTTATGGTGTAAATCAAGTCACTTTTCTTACCTTTCAGATTAATTATCGATTATTTTTAACAGTGTAGTTTG